AGTTGCTAACTTTGCAAGTATGGATTTGGGGACATGTCTTTTTCATAATTGTGGCTATGAGCATGTATACTCTAGTACAGTAATACCTTACCTACATCTTATCCATTGCCATCTTTATGCTTGTCTAATAAGATACCTAGAAGAGAACTTTTGGTACATCATGCTACATGTTTAATTTTTTGAGTTGTGCTGATTAGTTTTCATTATTTAATAATTTTGTTTTTGGGGGTGTGGTGTTGGTTTGGATCAGGTTGAACACCCCGTGACAGAAATGATTTCCTCCACTGATTTGATAGAAGAGCAAATTCGTGTAGCTTTGGGCGAAAAGCTTCGATACAAACAGGTACTAAAGGAGATATTTCCCTTGAAATTCTTTAGAATCTTTCTCTTATCATGGTTTTTTCCTACAGGAGGATATTGTGCTCAGAGGACATTCTATTGAGTGCCGTATCAACGCAGAAGATGCTTTTAAGGGATTTAGACCAGGGCCAGGTATTTCGATGCATCAGATTCAGAGATGTATTTCTGTAAAAATGTGTAAAAACTAAAAAGATAAATACAGTTGCATTCTAACACCAGCTTCTGTGGCTGCAAGATTTACCTAATACACAATACACAATAGATTGCATATATATGTTGTGCAGTTTGGTCAATTGGCTTCTTTCTCTCATTTGAAAATGCCGTGTCAAGTTTTTGGTTTCGATATAATTGAAATTTTATTAATCTATGAAATTTTCTCTCCTCAAACAACAGGTAGAATTACAGCATACTTGCCATCTGGAGGTCCATTTGTCAGAATGGATAGCCATGTTTATCCTGATTATGTAGTTCCTCCTAGCTATGACTCCCTTCTTGGAAAGGTTTGCCAATTTGTCTCTTCATAACATTACCTGTCATCCTCATCTCAATTGCTATACAGCATAATGTATCTCTTTATATTCCACATGAAAAGAAAATGCATATAAACTGTATATATTGGGTATTCAGTGGAATGAAATTAACATCTAATGCAAATATATAACTTTTTTCCTTTTGCCACTCAATTACTTTAAAGTTTGTTAATGAAGGCTGGTTTAGTCGGTAAGGATTTGACTCATCTCTTGCGAAGACACGGGTTCAAACCCTGCTGCCGATGTGGGTACCTCAATAGTTGGTAATGCGAGCACATTTGTAGGCGGTGTTTCAGTCTTGAGACCTGCCTTATTGAGCCCACGAACAAAGTTCAACTATACTATCAAAAAAATCATTTCTAAGTGTGTGCATCTTTTATGTGCATGGGCTTTCAGATTTAAGCAACAATAGGTTATAAATATGGATACCTATAAGGTGATGACTTTTTCAATTGAGTTTTAACATTAGCTGATGATGTACAAGGCAATGTTTTATTTACTTTGTATCTCTGTTGTTAATCCTAGCGTTGCTTAGCATCGACTCCCTAAAACCCTATACCAGATAAGGGGATAACATTTATTGCAAAAACAACATCTGTGTACAAAGTAAATATATATTCAAATATGGAAAATACACAAAATTAAAGCGACCATTCTTAACAATTAAAGAACTTAAAGTACATAGCAATAACACTTAAACAGAGAAGAACATATCATAACTTTACTTAATGTTGAAAGAAAAAAAACAATTATTTGTGAGCAAGATCAAAACATAACGAAGAACAAAACATTACCCTTAAAGTGTTCAAATTGACATTTATACTCTTATAAAAAGGGTTTGAATTAACATTAGCTCTGGTGGTTGGTCTGTTGGTGAAAGCTTGGGTCTTGAGAGTGTGTTCCTCTTAAGGTCTCTGGTTCGAATCCTACCAGTTGCAGACAATTCCTATGTCGGGCCAGTCCATATAGAGCGGCACCCCCCTAAGTGGACGGTGAAATTGGTTGTCACAATGCCAGATGCCAAGCTTTAAAAAAAAATTAGCTCCGAAACCCTAATAGTAGATGCAATAGTGGTTTGGGGCCGCAATTTCGCCTCAATTAGCTGCCACAACAACTATTGATGACAATGCCTTACCACCGTTACCAGCTATGGTATTCCGCTATCTTAGAATTGTAGTTGCCAGTTGGGCCTAACTCAATTTTACAAAACTGGCTTGTAAGGTCTGGACTGTCCCCACTTATAAACATATGTTCAGGTTGAATATTCTCCGATGCAAGATTCTTGACACCCCCCTCGCGCCCAACACTATCTGACTTGATGCATGGATATAAATGGTGGGTAGCCTGATAGAGGAAATTAGAGAGCAGATGGCCTAACGGATCTTGAACCAAACTCTGATACCATTTTAGATTTGTCGTATAACCTAACTCACTCTTACATAACCGGCTTGTAAGGTGAAGATTGCCTCCACTTATGTTCAGGCCATATATTGTCGTGATGTGAGATTGTTTTCAATTTGATTGAACTTTTATGGCCCTGTCTTCAATATGATTGAACTTTGCAATCTTGGAATTATTATATCCATCTTAGATATAAGCTCCATTTGACCATTTCGCACAAATTAAAAAAATTAGGTAGGAAGTACAATACAATAAATTTGTCACCAATGTCTATTGATTTTCTAAAGTTTCCCTTTAGTTAGTGTTTTTGTTAGACAATGGCACAAAAATATAGTAAGTTACTTAGGGTATTTTTGTAAAAAAATTAATGCATCTAGTAATTTGAAAGAGACTTATATTTAGCAAGAAATTTTATTATCAAGCAGGGCTTATGTTTAGATACACGGGTAGTAAATCGATACTGTGATCCTCTTGGTATAAGATTTGCAATTAATCATTTGTAAAAAGCAAGAGCCACCACCCTGTCAAAGATTAGACTTGTAGTATTTCCTGAGTATGACAACATTGAATTTATGTCTTTGTTGTTGTCCTATACAATTCAAGTGGAAATAATGAATATGGATGAAAGGAGAAAAAGTTGAGGGGTTCAATTCAAAATTTCAAGTATTTAATAAATATGACCTAATGTATTCCACATATGGCTTTCACACTTTCACTTTATTATATTTAAAAAAATATCTAATGTATACTTCTCACTGTATCCCAAGATATTATGTTGTGAGAAGGACTTGGATACAATAAATCAATCAACCACATGTGGAATGCACTTTTTTTCATCTGAAACTCTTCCTCATGTCTTAACTTCGCGAACATTTTGCAGCTGATTGTATGGGCTCCAACTAGAGAAAAAGCAATTGAACGCATGAAAAGGGCACTCGATGACACTATTATCACAGGTAAAGCAATCTGATTTTTATTATTGCGATAATCCTTTAGATATATGTACTTGCTGTAAGTTGATTGGCATGCCTGAAGCCAGGAAACTGATATAAGTCAAATGCTTTCCTTTCCACCTTGTTCATACACTTTGCAAAAAGAACAAAAGGAGTTTATTCAAAGAATCAAATCCTCTGCAGTTTGAAGCAAACAAACTGCAGGAGATGCAGAATCTTATGCTTCAAGTCAACTGAACTTATCCATTTTGTTTACGATATTAGAAGTCTCAAGGGTCTACAGATTTAAATCCTTCTGTTTTGAAAAGGACTGCAGATGATCTTGATCCCTGGCTTACACTTTCTATAACAATGTTAACACTTAACATTTTGTTGCAGGAGTTCCTACAACTATTGATTATCATAAACTTATCCTTGACATAGAGGTCGGTGCATCTTTTGATGTATTGTTTTTGGTGACTTGTATCCTTTAACATTATTTTATGTCCATCAGAACTCCGAAAGAAATCAACTAATGTATGCAATATCATTATTGTATTACAGGATTTCAAAAATGGCAATGTTGATACTGCTTTTATTCCAAAGCACGAGGAGGAGTTGGCTGTGGTAAGAATCTTATATAGTGCTGATAGTATGCGTCCCCTTGGAAATTTTTTTGATAGGAAAACAAACACGAACATGTCTTTGAAACCATAATCCATGACCGTTAAATACTATCATGGTTCTTTTCTTGTGTACTGAAAACAGTTGAAATTCAATGTTCTAGCCGAAAGACCTCTTCTGAAAAATGAGAATTTTTTTAAAAGCTTCCAACACTTTTCAAACACTATCTCCCTTGTTGGACGAAATTCATGTAGTGGTGTGACCCACATCAATTCCACCCATCACATGAGAGAGTGTTGAAAAAAGAGAATTAGAATTTGTGATGCTCACAACACTTTTATTTTGTTTGATTTTGTAAATTATCTGTTGTCCATATCATATGCAGCCCCCACAGGCGAAGATGGTATTAGTTAACAAGGTGACAGATGTTAACGATGAGACAAAAGTTAACAATGCGACGGAACCAGCTGCCTTGACAGCCTGATGGATACGACTATGTGATGCCATCCCTATAAAAGATTTGCAGTGTTGTAATCATTAGTTAGTCCGTGCGTGTGCTTGTGAAAGTTCTGATGAAATTTTGATAACGAGTCTCCCACACAATTATCCGATCAATAATTATTGTAAAATGAATTAATTATTTCATGTTTGATTTATCGTATTAGTGCTAGGTTATGTGATTTTACAATTGTTTCTTTTTAGAGGATCTCTGTCTCATTTCATGTTTGAAATTCTTGTATTAAGAACACGATTTTAGATAGAGTAATAAACTACATATTTATTACTAGTTTACAACCAAAAGTGTACATATTTTATTTGTTCATTCTGCTTAAAACCAGCAAAGTTTTATCCTAAAGATTTGACCATTAGCATATATGCAAAGACTAGATAACTTTCGAGTTATAAGCAACAAGTAACCATTGAACAGTTACATTTACATTTTTTTGACGGGTCAGTTACATTTACATTGTTGTCTGTGGTATTGTCAATCACAAAGTAACTCTAAAAATGACTTTGTAGTGAATGCCTTTTGAAATGTAACGCCATCATGTGGCTCTGGTGCTGCATCTTGAAACACGTTTTATGCATCAGTGTTGAAAGGAAATGTTGAAGAAGCATTACTATTTACTCTGGATTGCGGAGTTTACATTTTTCACATTGAAGATGAGCTTGATCGGCTTTCATATCCAGACATTGACTGGGAATCACTCATTGAGTCCTACAAAAGAAAATATGATTATATATATGTAAACAAAACAGATCATATATAAGCAAAACAGATAATGTTTTTTGGGATGGTTACGAATTACTAAATTTGAATGTGACTCACTTGACTTGATGAGGATAACGAGGATCGGTAATACATATTATTTCTTTGATTGAATCCTCCACCACCAAACATCATCATCATAGGCATGTTTTCATCAGCAAAATCTCTGAGTTTGTTAAGCTCTGGCAAAACAACTTTCCCAAGATCAGGTCTATCTTTTCTTCTCATTTCAGCACACTGAATAGCAAGCTTTGCAAAATGCATAGCATGTTCAATTGGCCAATCTTCAACAGCAGGATCAAGCATCTCACCAAAATTACCTCTCTTAATAGATTTTGCAACTTGGTGACTCAAACCCATTGGTGGCTTTGCTGTTATCATCTGTAGAAGCATGATACCGAGTGAGTAAATATCAGACTTTGTTCCGAGCATGCCCGTTTGCTGATACTCCGGATCAATGTAACAGAAAGTTCCAGCAGTTGCTGTCATGCGATACTGTGTCACCGTGTCTGCAACTGAAGGAGGGACAAGCCTTGCCAACCCTACATCACTAATCTTGCTCACATAGTTCCGGTCGAGCAAAATATTTCCGGGTTTTAAGTCACGGTGCACCAATGGTTCTGGTTTAGTCTGATGAAGGAAAAGGAGCCCGGTGGCTATCTCCGCAGCAATTCGGAATCTTAGCTGCCATGGCAGAACTGGTGCTTTACTATTATTTCTCCTAAAGAGACAATCATCCAAGCTTCCATTACTCATGTGCTCATACACTAGGCAACCGAACTCGGGACACGCTCCAAGGAGAAGAACCATGTTTGGATGTCTTATGTTACTCAGAACTTGAATCTGCATGAATCAAATGTCAAAACATAATTAATTGATTCAATTCAAGTGCATGTTTTAAAATCTTTATTGCCAATTTGCATACCTCTTGTTGAAACTGCGACCGTCCTTGAGTTGCGTCGGGTTTCAACACTTTTATTGCAACTGCAGTGTGATTTAGTTCAGCCCTATAGACCGGTCCATAACCTCCTTCACCGATTTTCAGTGAGTTTGAAAAGTATTTTGTTGCTTCTTCTATTTCCTCAATACTATATCTTCGGTACCTAACCGGACCGAGTAAGAAACTGTCTCCTCCTGTGTTAGATTTCATTTCTGCACTGATTCTTTTCTGTGCTTCCAACTCTGCGATTTTTCTACTCGCTTCTGCTGCTTCCATAGCAACTTTACTTTTCGCTCTCTCTGCGAGTGCTGTTTCTTGGGATAATTTAGCGTCACTGGTTTTCTTTTGTTCGTCAGATTTCCATCGCTGAAGTTCCACTGCCTGCAGGAGAATAACTTAGTCGTCTGTTTTGTAAATCTGCGAGGTAAATTAAAATCCGCAAATTACCCTTTGTTTCGCTGTCAATGCTTCCTTGCAAGCTGAACTATACATTTCCATTGTTTGCTTCAGCTCTAACCTCAATCTCCTCATTTCAGCTTCTACTTCATCCTATAATTCCGAAACACATGTTTATTAGGACTGTGACCGAATATGAACGACTGATAGGTTAGCCATAGAATAAGCTTACCGAGCTTGATACCATTTGTTGCGGTGACACGGACCTTCCACTGTCTTGTGAACAGAATGAATAGTCATGATCAATTGACTTAGCACCTGAGTAAGACGAACCGAAGCTTCTGATATCATAATCCGAGCCTCCAGAAAGCCGAGGGGTCATTCCACTTCCAGAGTCCATTTCTTCATACATTGAAGGGAACATCCTATCGATACTCGGCCTTCCGCTGCTCACAAAGGAGATATCGGAGTCAATGACCGTGGACTCGTACGATCTGTGAGTTGGTCTTGCGCCTCTCACGAATGGCGATCTGTCCGCAAAATTTAGTTAGTCTTCTCATGAACCATTTCTCATGTACAATTCTATCGTAAGGATTCCTAAGTTACTTACTTGATTTCGTCTTCTTCGTCTTGAAGGCGTGAAAGTAATGCTGGCTTCTCTGCTGCTGCTGTAAACAAATAGTTTGATGAGAAACATTACAAAAAAACAAAAATGACATAATATCAAAAGAGAATATCGCATTACGCCGTATCGGGGTGTTTCGCATTAATTGTTGTACATCCAATCTCTCAGGACTTTGCTGCAGCTTTTGTGGCATCTGCATAGCATTTCTACGCGCTACGGCTTTCACTGTTAAAGGACTAGTAGCTGTTTTCACAGATGAGATTTTTCCTTTCGATATAATGTACACCGTGCAAAACGGAGGCGCTCCTTTCGACACAATGCTAGGAACATCACTTGTCCTAAATCTTCTGTCATAAATCATAATTCATAAAAAACCGGATTATAATACTCACACAGTTAAACATGTTTCCAAATCGTTTCATTTTCTTGTAAAGATTGATCAAGCATGGTTGAAATAAACAGTTACCTTACAAGACCACTCCTTGATGGTGATCCAAGAACAAGAAGCTCAATGGAATATGTTGTAATACCTTCTATGATACCCTTTGCTATATCCAAGTCTTCCAACAAGACTTCTTTGCACACTATCTGTTATAGATAAATAACAAAAAAATATCACACATATATCTATCTTCAGCTGAAAGCCGAAAACCAGAGACTAAGCTATAGAGTCGGCAAGAGCTGTCTTTAAGGGCGTGCAAGACGGACTACTATATAAGGCACCCGTAGCTAAAAAGGGTCTCGTAAACTATTTGTCAATATTAAATCGGAAAAATAGAACCCCTATTTGTTTTACTATAGATAGAGAGCCTCTGAAAACTTTTGATTACATGATTTATTAGAACTTACATTCTTTCTATTGCAGAAGACACGAAACGAAGAGAAAAGCTCTTTTGATTCGTTATCCATTTGTTGCATGTAAGCTCTAGCTACATCATCATTGACATCAACAGGTACAAGGTTTCCATCTGCATAAACTCATGACTCATTCAATCAATATATCATATAATGAAAAATGTTAAGGCCATAAATGAAGAAGAACAAGAAAAATTTACTTGGTGTAGGAATTGAAGAAACTCTTTGTCTAACATGAACTAACAAAAGATGTTGATCTTTAGGAAGAAGATTATCAACAGCCCATTTAGCAGCATATTGGCTTGTTTTGTTGTTTTCAATGGCTACTGCAACAACACGTCCTGCACCTAGCTTCTTCTCTTGAATGACTCTAGACATTTTTATTATCTTAATAATCAATTAACTTTCTCAAAAATGATGAATTGAATGAAAGAATGAAAGAGTGAATGAAATTTGTTTGTGAAATGAACTATTATTAGTAGAACTTTATTGGTTTTTTTTTGTAGCTTTCTTAGCTAAGAGACAGAACATATGATAGTGTTGGAAAAAAAACAACTAGTACAACGTTGTTAATTAAGTGTGTTTTGTAGCTATTTTAAGAAATATTTTGTAACTATAAGTTAGTATTTTGTTAATATTTTCTAAATTTAGTGAATAATTGACGCGTTGTAATTTTCAGTGAAACCATAATTAGCTAACTTTGTTAAATTAATGTTTATCAAAAAAAGAAAACTTTGTTAAATTAATTATTCGTATGTTTTTGCTGTATTTTATTTTATAACGTACTTCATTAGGTTTTATGATTATTTTTCTTTAAATCATATAAAATGAAAAAAAAAAATATTTTTTAACTTAATACTTTGAATCTTGAATGATAAATAATGGTGAAAATAGGTCGGACCAAGTTAAATTTTGTCAAGTTTGAGTCTGACTTACAAAAAATTTAAAGCTTAAGTCTGGCCTATAACTAGGGGTGGAAATAAGCTGGATCGAGTTAGGCTTTGCCAAACCCGAGTCCGACCTACTAAAAAATGCAAAGTCTAAGTCTGACCCGTGGTCTATCATAAACTTATTTTTCGGCCTGAGCCTGACCTATTTGAAGGTCTGGTTAGCCTATTAGCTTGCTTAAAAAGTGTTAATTCTCTATTTTTGTGATTGACAATATGTTTGATAAAACTTACTTAGCATAAACATATTGAAATAAGATGTTCTATCAACTGGAGAAATATGTTGAACAAGATATCCTATGCAGAATCATTCGAAATCGCGCATGTGTACAACTGAGCAGTTGAATATTTTTATTTTATTATGTATGCAGAATATTCTAACAACATTATGATATCCTATGTGGCGTCCAGTTTAAAGATTAAGAGATTCAAGCTTTATTCAAGGAGTATTCTTAGTTTCTAATTATGGAGATGATTTAGAAAACTAATGATTGAAGTCCTATTTTTATGCAGAAGTTTATGCAAATTTTTAGCAGCTGATTTGCTGCAGTTTTGAAGCCCAATCCAATCCAAAAGATTGCTTTAAATAGATTGTTACAAATCTAGTTTATGTGTGGAATTTACGCGTGTTTTTGTTAGGGTTTATGTGTGTTAATGATGAGCCTCTCTAATATCATCTTGATAAAAGAGTAGGATTGTTATATTGAGTTGTAAGTTCTGTCAGTCATTTTAAAAGCTTTTAAGCACTTAATGATTGTGTGTTTTTTGAAGATGATCTTCTAATTCTTTTGAATTGGGTTCATGTCACTGTTTGTGACTGAAAGGGATTTGAGAAGGGTCTCATACCTAAGTGAGTCTTAGATAGAAGTTAAGCACGAGTAGTGATTAAGTGAGTAGATTATAAACTGGTGATAATTTGTTGTTGGTCTATAAATTGATACTATTTAGTTGACTTTGTCTCCGGCTTAGTAGCCCCCAGAGTAGATGTTGTTGTACATCAAATTGGATTAACAATACTGTGTGTTCCTTTAAATTTTCTATACTGCTTTATTGTTTAAATTTGTTCATTATGTTGTTGTTCAAAGATCAGTGTCTCGATATCTCTTAGGACATCTAAGATCTAACTACTAGAATTTCAATTAGTATCAGAGCAGGCATCATGCTCTGAGTTTGGGTGAAATTTAGGGAAAATACTTTCTGGTACAACGGTCAAGGAAGGAGGATTTCTGAACAGACCACCCATTCTTGATGGAACCTGTTGTACCCCAAAATTTTCCCTCTCATTTCTCAAAAGATCATCCTGGACTCTCAAGCTTGCTTCTATCAAGTTTCAAGTTTTGAATTATAACTTTTCAAGAAAATCATCCACAAGGGAAAAATGGTCAAAAACACATTGAAAAGTCAAACTTAGACTTAGAAATCAAGTTTCAACAATTATATTTCATCAAGACATGAAATTGGTTCATCAAAAATCAGAAGTCAGAAGTTACTTTGAAAAAAATAAAATTTCTAAACATTTAGAAAATTTTCTAAGTGTCAAGAGAATATGATACTTCAGAACTTCTGAGCCAACCTCCACGCAAGTGCAGTCAGAATTTACAGACACGGTTCAGAACATGACGCTTCAATCAGAACATATGGAAGCAATGTTCTTCGATCAGAACATGACCCTTCAGCATTTGGAGGTTACGTTTCTGATCTTTTACGATTAGAACATCACCAAATTCCAAGACCTCGTTTAAACAACCTGCTGTACTGCTACAGCACAGTACTCTAACCAGCAGCTAATCCAGTTCACGCCTGCATTTTCCCAAATCTTGTATTTGCACCAAATACAAAAAGCTGTGATAAAAAAGCAATGGAACAGTGTGCCAAAAAGTTTAAATCCCATTTGTTTCCCCCCCAAAAACCACAACAAATTCACCTATAAATAAGTTGCTCCATCACACTTTGAGGAGGCTGGTTTTTTTGAGAGAGAAAATTGTCAAAAGAGAGAAAAGAAAAATTATGAAACCTTCATAGAAAAATCTAGATTTCCTAAACAGAAAACAAAACCTTTGTTCTTCCCTTTAAATCAAAGAACTGGGCATTTTCTCTCCCGTTGCTCTTGCTGACTCCAGAACATTTAAAGGCAGCAGTTCAAGTTCCAAGCACACACTCCAGATTCAAGGTAAGTCTTTCTGACTTTGCATCTTCTCATTCAGAACATCATTAAATATGTAAATATCACAATATTAATGTTGTCCATATCATTGTATAAGTAGGAAAACTGTGGATCAGAACTTCTTGATTAAGGCTAGGCTCATATTTAGGATTAGAACTTCTATAAATTGTTGTGCTGTTATCCTTCTGATTTGCTGTTTATTAAGAACTGAATGAATTGCTGATGTGCTGATTAAGAGTTAAAATGTGGCACAAAACTACTGAGTTCTCCTCACTGTTTAAATACACAGAACTTCTGATTTCTCCTCACTGTTTAAATACATTGAACTTCTGATGTTCACTCACTATCTTAGCACATACTGAACCTCTGAGTTTTCTTCATTGTTTTAATATACAGAACTTCTAAGATTTTCTCATTGTTCTAACACTCGGAAGTTCAGCACATAGCAACCCAGAACTTCTGTGTTTTCCCTCTAACGTGTATTGCAGGACCTCAGAGTGTACCAATCCAGAACTTCTGATTCCACTGACGTTCCTTTCTGAGTCATCACGCGTCTGGCTTCAGAACTCCTGATCCTTGTTGTTTCGCTTGCAGCAGCACGCTGTTTCTATCTTTCATTTATTTTCCTTTTTATCATTTTTAATATTAATTCCCTTTTCATTAACATAAAAAGACATAAAAATATTTTCTTTTATTAATTAATTAATTTCTTTTTTTCTTAATTCATTAAGATAAAAAACTATTTTTTAATAAATCCGTTTTCTCTCTTGCATTGTATATTTCAATATGGTTGTAATAGTAACTTAGAATTTAATTTTATTTGCAATTCCCATTTGTAAATATGTACCTCCATCCCTAAAATATTGTAATAGCGTAGAACTTTATATTCCCGCAATTTATCACTTTTCAAATATAAATGCTAGTAATTAAGGCGTGTATGGAAAGACATGAAATCAGCAAATAGATAACCCTAATCAAGACTAAATGCATGCAATCAAACACACGTTGCACACTAGCACCTTTAGGGTAATTCCACTTTGTTGCCTATCGGAAAAATAGTCATGTCTCTCAAACATGGGTGTTTTAGTAAAGACCATCGATAAAAGATCGTAGTCCCTCGATGACCCTCGATGTTGCCTTCGATAAACAATCTAGTCCCTCACACGACATTGCTAAAACGTTCCATGGGTTGCCTTCCATGACTATACAAAAACGTCCCGCGTCCGTCCCTTCACATCCAATGATGGGGCTTCCTACCAAATCAATAGTAAGATAGCAACATCTAAAGGAGGACAAAAATAACATCTAAGACCATTTGAGTAGGTAGATTGCTCCTAATTACTTGCTCCATTTCAAAACAAACATCCTTGCTATTTTAAAAAATAATCACCTACACTTCCAAAAACACCTTTCAAACTTGAAAACATTTTCAAAAGATCAACACTTTGTATACATTCTTACGAACGAGAATCATTACAAAGTTTTCCTAAACGATGTCACCTTTTTAAAATACTTTCAAAAAAACCACACAAAGCACAATTCAAACAAAAGCAAGTGATCTAGCGATTAAACTAAGAGCCCGTGGAAAACCATGGATGAAAAGGGTGCTAATACCTTCCCTTTTCATAATCTACCCCCCGAACTCAAGAAAACATCTCTAAAGGTCTTTCTTGTGCTTTTTCACCTTTCCTTATTGGATAAAAGAAAAAGTCGATGGCGACTCTTGCTATCCGCAACATTTGCGATCAAATGCAAAACAAAAAGTCAATTTTCCCACCGTATCACAGAACTGACGACTCTGCTGGAGATTTAAAAGTGGGGTTACCTTAGGGTTAGATCACATTTACTTGCTTTTCTTTGTTTGACTTGTTTGCTTTACATTTAAGAGTTTTCTGCTTGGGTACTGTTAAAGATCCTACACCCGGATCTAGGGGACACTTATTAGGTAAACAACAAAAGATTGTGGAGACTGTACGGCGTAGACCGATATGGTTTAAGCGATGGTTGTGTTGGTGTGACACTTTGGTTGGTACCGGTATCCTTCGTGTGGAAACGAAGAGAATATGGGGCCTCCGTGTGGTGTCATGAAGCACTAAAGGATCTTAGAACCTTAGTTGAACAAACTTGACCATTAGAAAGTAGTGAGATAGCCAGCCTTGGTATAAAGTTGAGGATTGGTTGATACTCGATGCTACACTCATTGAGATCAAACTTTTGGGATATTTTGGCTGCAAGAAAAGATTGCCTGAGCCGAAACAATGCCCGAT